TAATAGTAGTTATATTGATTTGGGAATATGTTTAGTAAGGAGAAGTGTCGGTAGAGTAGAAGCATGCATGCTATAATATTTGAAGGTCCCATGTTTGAATCCCAGTGTAAGGAATGAAGTTTTTATTTTGCTTAGCTCCTCTGAAATTACTAGAATACCCTTACTATATCAGATATATTTTCTTTCTTCTCTCTCTTATCTAAGTCGATTTACAAAGTGTGAGAGGGCAGTAGAAAAGTCTAGAACTCTGGTGTAACTTATCTCTTCGTCCTTCTGTGTCTCTGTCTGTCTTCTCATTTTCAGTGGTCGTTTATAAGAGTGGAGGTTGTCACAGCTCTTGAATTTCCAAGAGGTTCACCTTCATATCTCCCCTATTTGGCGTTAAAAGAATCTCCTTTTCTTTTCTCTATTTGTTTGCTGCGGTTCAGGTTAGCTAAGTTGTGTGGTCACCAACTAATCTTCTCCTTCGTATTCTCAGTGGTCGCCGGCCAGAGTAGAGCTTGAGCTGCACTAGGTTGATCTATCTGTGCTTCTTGTCTTTATATTTTTTCTTCATTTTCTGCTCTGGTTCTATCTGTATCATCACCTTCAAACAGTAGCTGGATGAGGAATCAAGTTGCTAGAGCTATGACAGTACTGTAATGAGTTTGGACTATTGTTGTTGATTCATTTGCTGTGTTTCGTTGTGAGTAGAGTCCAGTTTTTTTTCTGCTCCCCTGTTCTACTGTAAGCTTCATTTTTCTCCTTCCATAACGTGCGACAGCATTGGTTTTCTCCTCTATTTAGCATTTAAGGACCTTCTTCTCCTCTTTTGCTGTCTGGATCAGTCAAGTTGAGGTGAGGAGTTTCAATCCTCGTATCATTAATTTTACTGGATTGTGAACATAGGCTTCTGTTGCTGTGCGTGAGAATATAAGTGCTGTGTGTGTACATGGAAATGCAGAAGATAGTGTGTGAGTGTGTGTGTGTGTGTGTGTGTGTGTGTGTGTGTGTGTGTGTGTGTGTGTGTGTGTGTGTTGCTATTACTGCTCGGTTATGTGTAGTCATGATAACTTTAGATTTTTTTTACTGTCGCCTATATTGTTACGTAGAGAGGAGAAGACAAAAATTTAAGCAAGAAACCCATCTGAACTTAGTGACAATATATGATAAATGTGGGTTGGGGTTTGAAATTTTAGAAATTCATCCTTCCATGTGATTGCATGTTCATACATAGAAAGGAGTGTTTTAAATTAATGGATATTGTAGTTGTATAACCAAGGAAAGTGATTAAATTAGTGATAATACTTGGACCGATTTCAAATTATAAATTTGGCTTTAAATTTTAGATGAGGATGGTTAATTTGAAATCATACTAAAGATTGGGAATCTATGAAATTATTTTTTTATCCTGATAGGGGGTGAGGAAGAACGGGACCCTGATCAGAATTAAAAGAAATGATATCCTTGAGAATTTAAAGTTTTAACGAGTAAGTGAATAGCATTCTATTTAATTTATTTTTATTTTTAATAGTCTTTTTCTTGAAATATTTTATTTTTATGAATTATATTAATTTTAAAAATTATGAAATATCAATGAAGGACAAATGAGTTATGATATGTGCATTTATTAATTCTTGATAATATATTTTTAAGATGGATGAAAGCATTTATGTATGATTGTTAAACTTTAAAATTTATTGGATACTTAATTAATGTAAGTTTATAATTTTGACAAATATTAAGATTTGAAACATTTCATGCGAGTTTGGTAACAAGAATGATAATTTATTTCAATAATAATTGTTTTTCTCTCATGTTTGAAGTGTGATTTTAAGAGAACTTGAAACAAAACACTGCTGCTAACGGCAGTTCCGTTAGCCCATAACATACTGTGGTTAATCACTAGCTAATTTATTTCGTGAGTTTTATTCTCACATTTTGTATTCCTGTGTTTTGTACCGGCGTTTGATTCTGTGGCCTGAGCCGCGTTTGGTTACTTACCCTCGTAGACTGTGTATCCAAGTTTGTTTCATAGCCTCGGCTGCATTTAGTTACTCACCCTCGTGAACTAGTGTATCCACGTTTGTTTTCGTGGTATAAGCCGTGTTTGATTATTTACCCTTGTGGACTGAGTGTCCGCATTTGCAACCTATTATATTGAGTTCCCAAAATTTTAAATGTTGATTAATATGTGTTTTCAAAATTTACATGATTTTAACTAGCAATTTGTATCACTTTGAGTTATATGTGAATAGATTGTTTTCTTTAAGCATGATAACATAAATTGTTTTCAATTTACTCTTATTTTACAAGTATGATTATGACTTACATGCTTATAAATTTTGGTAAAATTACTTTTAATTATCTGACACCATTATTAGAGATTATCAATTTAAATTTTAAAAATTTTACCATGAGAATGCTGTTCACTGAAAAAATTATTTGGCCTCAAATTTGTTAGCTAACGCCGATCCCACCATCGACCTCAAAAAGGACATAATAGCTACAATGGGTGAAAGTTTTGGATTGGTATTGTTTCTCTTAATGTAAATATATAGCTCGTATGTCTTTTTGATTTAAAGAAAAGATTAGATGCTCCACATAGATTATTGATGGACTTTGTTATGGTTTGTATATTGGTTGCTAGCTGGAAGGAGCTACACTCCTGATTTATACTATTATCTATAAAAAAATTTATTGCAGAATTTTTTAGAAATCCTAGTTACAGCGGATATTCTGTCGAAATTTCTACAAACACGTCGACATTTTCTTATAATAATGAGTTTAAAGGGATTATTTTAATTCTCATGTGATTTGATTAAATTTTGTTCTTTTCTTTTATAAAATAGAATAAATGTTCATTTTGAGCTTACGGGAATGTGTGAGTGGTTCACACTCATACCGATCACCTTCTATTTATAGAGCGTGACATTTTTTATATGAAACCTGTATATAATTTTTCCTAATTTTTACACTTTTTTTATTATCTTTGTCCATAGTTAAGTTTGGTAGGCCACAGGGAGTCGGAACGCGGAATTGATTTGATGTTGACGCAGAAATAATTGTAACCAAACAGATTTGTTTTATTTTATTTGGCCAAAAACACATATTAAATTTTTTATTTTAAAGTAAAAATGCCACAGCTCATATGACAGTCAAACAGAATAAAACAAAACAAAACAAAACAGATCACTATTGGATTATCATGCTCATTCTGACACGATTAATACATGATTAATATCACTCAAGAATGAATCCTTCCATTTAAAATTTAAAAAAAATATTGATAGAATGATTAAGTGTTAGACAATTTTTGAAGACATATTTAAGTTAAATTTAAAAACACGAAGTTTAAGTAAAAAATATAGATAAATAATAGAAAGTTTAGATATTAAAAAGTTATGTTTAGATTAAAAAAAAAAGGCTTCAAGATTTAAGAAAAAATCAACCAAAATCATAAGAAAAAAAGAAAAATAAAATATGTGTTTAGATTAAACTTATATAAATCTCACCTCTCTTGTGTGAATCCGTCATGTATATGGGACTTATAACATCACAATTTTTGGAATTTGAGCTGTGCTAAACTGAGGTTATACGTAATTGATGATGCAATATATTTAAGATACCATTTATTAAACTACACACACACACACACACACATATATATATATATATATTCATCTTCTTGTTATTCAAAAACAAAAATGATAGCAAGATACCCTTGTCCCCATATGGCTTGGCCTCTCTGTTCGTTTTTTTTTTTTTTTTCCTTTTTGGCCAGTCGCCTCTTTATTCATTGCATGCGTATGAACACTGACCAAATGGTCACCAATCATATAATGAACAAAATCAAGAAAGATAAGATGAAAGAGAGATATTATTCATATATAAATATTATAAATTAAACTAAATCCAAGAGTCATGGATATTAAAAGTATATCATATTTTTAAAAAATTAAAATTAAGTCATATTTAATTTATGCATATGATAGAAACACCAAGAAAAAATTGTATTCTTCATGTACTGAAATCAATATTAATCAATAATACATGAAAATTAAATAATATAAATTAATTTATCAAAGTAATTACTCAATTTTTATAATAATAATTTATTTAAGAAATTTTTTTTGAACAATCTAGTTAAAAACTAACATATGCTTTATCAATATTAAATTTCCTCTTTTTTATTAATAAAAAATATTAATCATCATGTATCAATATTAAAAATATTTTTAATAAAAATATATTATACGTTTTATATCTATTTATTTGATAAATAAATAAGAAATTAGAATTTAGAATTATACATATATGGAAATGGGAGAATCCGTTTGCGACTTTGCGCACAAATGCATTTGTGAGAGGGAGCCACTCAACCTCGTAGACACGACATCCCACACATACATTAAATGGCGTTGTGGCCTCCCTCAGGTTGCACGTGGGTCCGTGCAATGGATTGAGAGGTGAAGCCTTATTGTTCTTGGAATAACGTTACAAAAAGACTAATATATATGTTCTGCCAAAAAAAGAAATGAGACAAATATATACATACTTATATAATTGAGTTTAATAAATGGTACCTTAAATAAGACATCATCAATTACGTATGACCTCAGTTTCACATACAGTTTTCATATTAAGGAGTCAAACAAATAAATTAAAATTTATATGAGTTTAAGAGGCTCTCCCATCTAACAAATTATTTTTTTGGAATGGGTTTTCTTTTAAGATTTGTACTTATAACATCAATATTTTCATTAAAAGTTTAATACCATGAAAAGAATTACCCATCACAAAGAACCCTGATCGAGTAAAGTGCCATAAAGTAGAAACATCAGAAATGTCGGTTCTTGAATAGAACGGCATTGTTATGACTCATACACCATTTATTCTCTCCCACCTAACATAGGACCACGTAGCCCCTCTTTTTCTTCTAACAGAGTATTCATTATGCATGCTTAATGGGCTATATTTTTGCCCAAGTTATTATAAATAGCCCAGAGTGATCAACTCGATTACCACCAAAAGTACGGAGTTCATCATGGTAGGTGTTTAGTGAAGTAAAATATATATATATATAGATATTCTTGTTTATATATGTTTGTTTCTGTACTTAGATTAAAGAAACAGCTTCTGAACTCAATTCCTTCACATTTTCAGGAAGAGATTCAAATCAAACACGCTTTGGTATTGAAGGAAGCTAAGCTTGCATTCAACAAAGTCGACGACGACCCAATGGAAAGTTTGTATATGATCGATGCAATCCAAAGGCTTGGCATTGAGCACCTTTTCCAAGAGGAAATTGAAAAGGCTCTTATTCTGAACCAAACTTCGAAGCTTGGAATCAATATCAGTAGTGATTCCATGCACAACCTTAAACTTTGCGAAGTTGCTCTTCAATTCCGTTTACACAGGCAAGCAGGTCATTATGTTCATGCTGGTATGAAATATTTAGTATTTTCTGATCATTCCCTTTCTTTTCTTACAACAATCTTCATGATTCCACAGACAATGAATTCTGTATAAAGCATAATAATAATGACTATGGTATATATGCAGATATATTTGATTGCTTCAAGAACAAACAAGGAATGATCAAAGAAAAATACAGTGAAGATATAAAGGGACTGGTTGCTCTATATGAAGCATCACAGTTAAGCATAGAAGGAGAAGATAGTCTTGTTCAGGCAGGCAATCTCAGTCGTCAACTTCTTGAGAGGAGGTTGTCAACACATGAAGGTCATTGTGAAGCTCAAGCTGTGGCAAACGCTCTTCAGAATCCACTTCACCATAGCTTGTCAAGGTTCACAAACACAAGCATCGTCATCTCATCAAGTGATTTTCTCATGAGAAATAGATGGACGACCAGTTTTGCTGAACTTGCTGAAATCAATTCCTGCCTTATCCGCCACTTGAACCAGAATGAAATCTTTCAAGTTTCCAAGTGTGATATACTCAGGACTATATATACACACACACATATATGATATGCTTAGTTATTTTTTCTTGTGGATATATTAATTAATAGATATTAGAGATCACTAACTAATAATCTAGCGGACAGGTGGTGGAAAGAGCTTGAAGTGGCCAAGGCGATGGCGTTTGCTAGGTTTAACCCAGATAAATGGTATCTGTGGCCAATGGCATGCCTCACAGATCCAAAGTTCTCTAAGCAAAGAATTGAGCTCATCAAACCTGTTTCTTTGGTCTACATAATTGATGACATTTTTGATGTCTATGGTTCATTAGACCAACTCACTAACTTTGCCAATGCTGTGAATAGGTATTCATGTACATATTTGGATGCAAACTAGGTTGTGTGCGTGTGTTTCCCCCATACGCTTTACACAAGGTTTGAGATGAATTGCACTGTTCATGATCTATAAATAATACTTCTTCACATATATTTTAAAAGTACACATAATGCCATCTATATTTATATATACGTAAAAGGGGAAAAAAAAACTTACAGCAAGTAGCACATAGTTTACAAATTGTGAATAGCTGCTCTTTTTTCTTTTTTCTTTTTTTTTTTTTGGTTTTGCACGATGCATGGGACCCATATAGTTTTAAGAGCAAATGACATTTGAAGACCATATAGGATATCATTAAATACATTTAAGAATATTATATAACGAATTTTAGAGATTTTCAAACAAGAACAAAAGTTTTTGATTGGAATTGAAATTTTTTTAATAATCATTTTTTTTAATAATCGACTTTAATCTTCAATAATCATCTTTAACTTTGTAGTACTCATTTCTTTAATTTTTCAGTACTTGTCTTCAATTTTTTCAATGCTTATTTTTTGTTTTAATAAAAAAATTGTTGTCCTTTACCATAATTTATGTTCTTAAAAGGTCCTCTAATGTCATTTTCTCTTATTATAATTCCATTCCAAAATGCTACAAACAATTCTCTTGATGCAGATGGGAATCCACGGCCACGGAGAAATTACCAGACTACATGAAAATTTGTTTCAATCTTCTACAAGACACTATCAATGAGATGGCTAGCAAGGTCCAAGAAAAGCATGGATTAAACCCAATAAATTCCCTAAAGAAATCGGTGAGTAGTCAAATAAACTAGCTCAGTATTTCAAATTGTGGATGCATGTGCACTGCGCGCTCGCGCATACACGCATGCATATATAACAAGCCTTTTTTTTTTTTTTAAATTATCATCTTGAACTGATCTAAGAACAAATATTTTCTGTACTTGAAACAGTGGGCAGCATTGTTGAATTCCTTCTTAGTAGAAGCAAGATGGTTGAATTCTGGTCATTTGCCACAGGCAGAAGAATACTTGAAGAATGGGATTGTGAGCTCAGGAGTTCATGTGGTGTTCTTACATGCATTCTTCCTCTTGGATGAGGGTATTGTTAAATTATTTATATTAAGTCTACCTTTTCAAAATAGTTTAAGTCATTTACTTAGACACATATCAATTATTTAGACAGATACATTCCAAATTTTATATATCTAATCATATATCTTCTAATTTCTACATGTGGGGGTTTTTTATCCATGATATTCTCTCTGCTACTTTGTTTTTCAATTTTCTTTTTCTTGTTTGGCTTGTACCTTATTTTAGTCCTAGATGTCTTGGGTCCATGTAATCTTCATTTTTCCTCTCTCTATCTTGTTTATTTTCTCTTCATTTTTCAGTTGGTTGTTGCTTTTATTTGATTTTTTTTTTTGTCCTAGATCGAATGACTCTTAATACCACATGAAATTCTTTTTATTATGTTTGATTAAGAATAGTCTGCTTTACTAAAATAACTTAAGCCATTTGGTTAACACATTCCAAACATTATATATTCTTGATCTGTCTTCCTAATTTCTAGATCTAAGACATCTTTTATTTCTAATAGGTATCACTGAAGAAACAGTTGCTATTATGGATCAAATTCCAAGTGTTTCTTCTTTAGTTGGCGAAATTCTTCGCCTCTGTGATGATTTAGAAGGAGCAAAGGTAATTAATTTGACTGAACAGAACTAAACTTTCTTTCTTGTAATTTGCAGTTATGTGCACTTTCACTTTCAATCTTGTGATACTCCTTCTGGTTCTTATTCTATATAAGGCACCTTCTAAAAAAATTGGTGGTCCTTAATATAAGGAACTTTATAGAGTATTAATTATATTTTTTAAAATATTGCCCTTATTTAAATTCATCAACATGAGAGAGAATATCATGCAAATTTGAAAACTTTCATTTAAATTAGGTAAAATTAGAAGTTTATTCTTTTCTGATAGAGTTAATGACCTAATCACCTCTACTTAGTTTCAATGAAGTTTTTAGAGATGTCTTATAAAATGAACTGGAGAGAGTATAAAACAATGAGAAAAAAGATAGATCCTTGAATTTTGAGAATGACAGTGAGGAAAAATTCTTCAGTGCATAAGGAACATTAGTGTGAGGCTGCAAAATGCCTTCCCCCCCTCTTCGCACTTTTATATCTCACAATTCAAAGGATCATTTCAAAATTTGATGTGTCAATGTCATTATCACTTGCCATTATTAGTCTCAGGAAAAAAATACAATTTCTTAGCCTTTATTTGATAAGACCATCAAAACTTGAATTTTAATTTTAAAAAAAGGAACTACAATTCATGGTGAGTCTCATCCCGCCTCCTCTATATTGTATTTTAGGTTACCTCCTACTCAAAATCTTGCAAATTATTTGGATTATTTTATCATCATCTATTTTTCAAAACATTTCTAAGTCAAAATGTTCACTATGATCAAATTTCATCTAGATGGACAAAATCATAATTGAATGGTTTAGATTTTATTTTATCTGAGCATTATAGTTTTAACATGTTTTCATTTTCATACGTCTCGTTTCATCAAATGATAAGAATAATTAATATATTAATCCTTAAGATGAGGCCAAGACTACTTATATACTAACAATAATAAGCTATGATAACTCATTTAGAGTGATGATCAGAGTGGTGTGGATGGATCATACCTTGACTATTACATGAAAGAAAACGGCGGCGTTTCAGAAGAAGAAGCACAAACACACGTGGCCCACTTGATTTCAAAAGCATGGAAACGTCTCAATCAAGAAACGCTAATCACAAGCCCTTTTCCTTCTTCTTTCACCAAGTTCTGCCTCAATGCTGCAAGGATGGTCCTACTTATGTACAGTTACAGAAGAAATGAAAGCCTTTCTGATCTCCAGGAATACGTGAGGTCGTTGCTTCATATTGATGAATCTATCGACAAGCACATTAATATTCCTTCAAGCCACGAAGGCCAAGGCCACGTATTTACTTAGGAGTTTATCAACTAAATAAGTTTAATTCAATAAATAAGCAAGTTATTGCCAATGTATTCAAGTACAACTTTACTTTAATTTGTTTGATTGCGAAGTATGAAATTTTACTTCGTAATTTTAATATGTTTTTTAAATGAATAAAACTCCAAATATTGGGGAGAAGCCCTCAGTACATCATCAATGATTTTAATTTCGTACATTAGCTATCTTGGAATGCCACGCGTAACTCGGGGAAAAATCGATGGAGAAGGTGGGCATGGCTACGACTTTTAGCTTCGTCTTCTGGTTTCTCTGGACTCAAAGATGCCATGACATTTTCGAGGACAAGCTGCAAACAACTCCTGAAATATATTATTCACATATGCTTGTATCTCCTTGTGGAAGACGAGTTCGGACCTAAGCGGGACTATCTTAGGGTCTGTTCCTTTCTGTTCTCATTATTTGTTTTTAAAAACTATTTTATAATATGGTTTTCAATTTTTTTTAAACAAAATGATATGAAAATTTGTCCGGTTATATCAAATAAAAAACAGTTTTAAAATTAAAAAATTAATTGATAATGATGATTATAAACAGTTAATAATGATGATTAATAATAAAAGTTAATTAAGATAACTATAATTTTCAATAATTAAATTTAATATATTTTAAAAACAAGAAAAATAAAATGAAAACAACTTAAAGTTGTTTCTATTTTAAAAATAAAAATGAAAACAATTTTAAAAACAACTGAATAAGAAAACACTCACCCAAACCAAAATTTTAAATTTTTTATTTTTAAAAAAATAATTTTTAAAAACAGAAAACAAACAGACCCTTATTTTCCCATAACTTGAAGAATCGACTGCTCATTGGTATTCACCTCCCCTAAATGTGTAAGAATTGATGTGGATGGATCTGTCCGTCAACAATTCTTTGCAGCGAGTGGTGGGTTATTAGAGATACTGCTGGTGATTGGGTCATGGGGTTTGTTAGAAAGATAGGCTGCCAACCTTCTATAGCAACTGGGATAGTGAATTTCAGTAATCAAAACAGGACTGGACGGCATGTGAACGTCTTGGTCCGACCATGCTACGTTCGTATTCTGATTCCTTAGAGGCAATAAATCTTTTGATGAGGAATATTGGTCGAGATCATCCCTTGAAGGATATCCTTACTGAGACTAAAGGCCATGATATTCAAAACATTTTTCCCATGTGAAGCCATTGGCTCATTCCAACATTTTTATTTTGTGGCAACAGTCATAAACGGTTGCCACAGGGTGAAATATTATTGCCTATAGGCATAAGCGATGGTTGTTGGGGGTGAAACCTGCCCCCGTTATCTATAGTCTAAGACAATGATTTATCATACTTCAAGTTATAAATCATAAAACCATTGCCTATAGTGAGACATTAGGCAATATTTTTGGAATGTTGAAATAACCAAAGTTTTTGCCTATTGTCTCTTATATGAGTATCGACAATATTTAAGAATTGTTGCGAAGATATTAAATAACCAAAATTTAATATTTTCTTCTTCACTTAGAATTCAAATCCTGATCAACTTGAAGTGATGAGATAACTCTAACCACTCACTACAAAAAAAAAAAAAACAGGGGATTAGTGACAAAATAAATTTCTGTCGCTAATTAATTGCTAATTCTGTCACTAATTTAGTGGTGGAATTTAGCAATAGAATATTTATCACTAAAATTTTATCATTATTCTGTCAGACATAATTTACCAATAGCATTTACCAACAAAAAATTCCATCGTTAATGGTTAGAATATCTTATTTTAATTTAGTGACGGAATTTGTGACAGAAAATTCTGTACAAAGCTTTCTGTCATAATTAATTCCATCACTAATTCAGTCGCAAATTATTTTTAATTTAATTTTATTATTTAAATTAAGACTAAAATTCTTTTCAACTCAACTGGTAACAAGGTGGATGCAAAGGCATTAGGGAGCGTGAGATTGCAAGTTCAAACCTAGCCAAAGTACAATTAAAGGTAATAACATTTGACATGATGGTGACAAATGACATGGCGGTGAGGTGGTACTGGTCCATTAGGCGATTAGGTGGTGGTGAAGTAGCATTGGTCTACTAGGCGATATGGCAATGATATTTTGGTCCACCTAAACAAAATTAGTGACAAAATAAGTCTATTGAAAAATTAGCGACGGATTAGTGATGGAATGCATTCTGTCACAAAATTAAAATAGCTTATCCTTATTTGTTGATAGAAAATTTGTCACAAAATTGTAAATTCTGTTGCTAACGAACTAGTGATGGTATTTTTATTGATAAAAATATTCTATCGCTAATCCATTTAAAGACAAAATTTTCACTAATTAGTAATAAAAAAATTCCATCGCTAATTAACTATTTTTTTGTAATGACTCTTCCAACATGACTTTTAGTTATTATAATGCAAAACATTATATATATAGATAATTATTATATTAATTTTTAAAATTTTCTATTTAATAAATAATAAATTAAGAAAATAAAATAAAAATATAAAAGAATATAGATAAATTATCAAAAAGTAAAAATATTTTTTATTAATTAGAAAAACAATAGGCAACAATTTTTAAATATTATCAAAAAGAATATTTGTAGGCAACATTCTTTTTTTTTTTCCTGTTAGAACAGACAATAGTCTTTTATATTGCTTATTTAAAAATTTTATCGCAACACTTAAAAACTGTTGCCTATTTTATCTTAGGAAACAGTTTTTAAATGTTGCAAAATATTTGTTGTTTAAAGTAGATATCAATAGCAACACACAAAAAATGTTGCTTATATATACATTAGGCAATATTTTTAGAACTTTTTGAATCAAAACTGTCGTTTAAGGGGGGGTGGAAATGTTGTAGTGGCTGTGCAAATTTTCTGGCTCGTCAAGTGCATGATAGTTCCTTTAACATAGATATGGTACCTCAAATGCCACCTGGTTTTTCCAATATTTTCTGGTACGATAAATCTGTCTTGCATTAGTGTCTGGTGATTAATTTAGTTTCCTTTTGTTAGTTCCTTTCTACGCTTGCCTTTGTAATTCAATAAAAAGAAGATACTATTGCAAGCAAACAGTAGAAACCCATTAAAGTGAGGAAGAGTGCATCTCTCACCTACTATTTGTTGATTACTTGCTTATATGAAGTAGAAGTAAGTCAAATGCGCTACGTACTTGACTTTAAAGATGTTGGGGCACTGTACTAATAGTAATAAGCGTAAAAACCACCACTTTCTCTTCAGAGAATGTGCAAAGAAGCAAGCATATTGAAATAACCTGATGAGGAATTTGGCTCTCTAGGGGCAAATTTCAAAGCCTAATACACAGATAAGGTACAACACAAGCTCAGTGGGTGAACGTGGCAGACATTGCCGCTCGGAGGGAGGCTCACTTTTGTATGTTTTACTCAGACACAGAGGGAAGGTAATTAATGTGCGGATTGGCCATCAAATTTTAGCTTTTCATGTGATTATGACGACATGCTAGGTTTGAGGGACATATTGTATAGGGATACAGTAAGTGTTACTAACCTATGAATGACTATTGAATCAAAATATTAAAAATTAGACCGGTCATTGAACCGGTAAATATACAAGATCAATAGTTATTAATTAAAACTCTAACCAAATTATAATCAAATCAATCATAAAGTATTTTATTAAATTGATCAAAACACCTTTTTAATGGTTTATCAATTTAGCTAGGCAAGTTGAGCTAAATTTTCACACTATACTATTGACATAAGCTTGTTCTTTATAATTTATTACCTCTAACCAGTAAGTCGTTGTTTCTTTCTTTTTCTTTTGAATTCCTTCGTCTTAAGATGCAAGTTAATGTTACTATTAACTTTGTTTATAGAGATGTGATTAACACAGCTCACCACCTGGTTAGGAAAGCTCATTTTATTGAGTTTTTTTTTTTTGGTATCTTTGATCATCCACCATCTTAGTTGTTAGAAGGGGGTTGATGATGATTGATTTGGCTTTCCTTATATTTTGCTTGACTTGTTCTTGTTTTTTCTGATCGTGAATGAATTCAGTTTTCATTTAAAAAAAAAAAAGATGCAAGTTAATTCAATAAATTTTTGTCTTTATTTTTGTGCATTACAGGGTCAAGCCTAGAGTACAAAACTAAATTACTCTAGAGGGGATTGAAATCCCAAAAACTCCTTTTGCATAATGTCTCTTAAAAACATAGGAACCGAATCAAAACATCCAAAAGTGTTGATTGCATGTTTGGCCAATTGATCTGCAGCCTCGTTATGATCACCTGAAGCATACTGGATTTTTACATTCAAATTCATTTGAAGCAGATTAAAAATATCCATTAGAACTCAGCTACATATGCTTTCCTTATCTTTCCCCCTTGTTGATTATGTCAACTAAATTTTTTTTCCACCAGATTCAACAATCACATTCTTGAAGCCCATACCACAGACAAGTCTGAGTGCTCTATATACAACCCTCATATACACTACAGTAGCCAAGGGTATGGGAGAAACCGGCTATTCAACATCCTCTATGATCCCTTAAAACTCCCTCAAATCCATCTTCCAAAGACGGTTTGACACAGCACCCCCAGTATTAATTTTAACCCAATCATTAGTAGGGGCTACCCAGCCATTAGAGGTGTTATGTATTGCATTCTTCCGCTTAATTCCAGTCATTAGTTGATATATAAAACTTCCATGTCTTTATTTTTTTTTTTTTTTGGTAAACTTCTACCATGCCTCAACTTTCAAAATCTGCTTACTGGGCCACTCGTCTTTACTACATGGCCCCAAACCAATTTGAGAAGTTACAATTTTTAGCTTGGGTCTCTCTCTTGAGGCATTGGACTCTATATTTTCTTCAAAGTGTGGGGACAAAATTGTAAAACGATTTTTTACAACTAACCCGAAGTGTTTATTTTTTAATTAGGGTTTTCATTTGTGTTTCGATTGTATTTTGTTTGATTTAAATCTCTATTAGTCAATAAAGAACATATGCTTAAAAAAAACATATTTTATACGTATATGATATGACACATATTTTATGATTCGCATGGCATAACATTTCGCAACAACTTTGAAAATTGATGTAACCATCATATCATGCCATATCATATCTGATATACATATTGTATCGGTACTTCTTGGCTTTTTGTCGTCTTCATTTTGCTTTCTAGGACTTTCATTTCATGTAAAGAAATTGCAAGTATTCACTGTAATATCAAAAAGCTATGATTGCCAATTGGGGCGTGGCTTATGAGATGCTTAATCATAGAAAAGCAAGCGCAGAAAAACAATAATTATACGACCCACTATTCGCTTTTCATCTCTCTACTTCAACTTCCAAATAGTTTAGAAAATATAAATTTAATTAAGATCTGCTTCATCCAGAGTGTTTAAAAAAACATATAAAATAAATTTAAAAAAAAAAAGTAGAGAATCAGAATACTTAGTCACGCCCAATTCAAGTTCCGTCTAATCTAATTATACAAAATCCAAGCCATGAAAAGTGACAGGACTAGGGTTTCATATGTGAGGGGTTAGGGATTGAAAATAAATGGTGTTTTTATCTTTGGAAAGCACCCTCCCCATAGAGTTGGGGAGTGATAATGTTTGGCACATGTAGACTCCAGTCCAAAAACATGTTTTTTTTTTTAATCCAGCTTGAATTGGTCGAGCTCATGACCAAGCCCAAAAGCTTATATAATATTTCAGATAAATGAATAAATTAACTCCCTCAATTATAAGTCTAGAAGTAGTATTTGGAACTCTAATTCATTTTTGTATAATGTTCTCTTTCAACATTTAAAAACGATATATGAATATGATCAAAATTAACTTTTATTAATAACAGAGATTAAATTGTATCGTTTTTAAATGTTGAAAGAGAACATTATACAAAAATGAATTAGAGTTCCAAATACTACTTTAGACTTATATAATATTTCAGATAAATGAATAAATTAACTCCCTCAATTATAAGTCTAGAAGTAGTATTTGGAACTCTAATTCATTTTTATATAATGTTCTCTTTCAACATTTAAAAACGATACAATTTAATCTCTGTTATTAATAAAAGTTAATTTTGATCGTATAATTGACCAAAAAAATTATAAAATAAAATCTCAAAAATTATAAAAAAAATGACTAAAAAAATTCAGTAGAGAATTCAAAAATTACAAACAAAAACCCAAGAAATTACAGAAGAAAAATATTATACAAAAAATGAGTTTAAAATCCTAAACGTTCATGATTTAAGGGTCAATGTACTCTTTTACCCTAATATTTTTTAGTATAAGTTTACCATTATTACAATATATATTTTATTAACTAGACATGCTGCTGACTAATTTCTTATATATATATATATATATAAAAATATGTATTTAATATTTTTTGATCGACGGCCTAACCAACTAAATCACAAAAACTGAAATCCACTAATCTTTCCAATTTAATATCTAGTCTGCCCTTTAAAACATTGCTTGACATAGGGGGAAAAACCAAGTTTAAATGAATAGCAGCCTGACGTTACCCAACTTGTACCACCCCAAGAAAAGAAAAGAAAACAACAAAACCCTGCTCAGGAAATTATGACTTTGTTGTGTTTCCTTTTCTATTTAGCCTCTGGCCATGAGAATATCACCAAGCTCAGCTCTACTTTCTAGAGAAGTTTGAAACAGCTAGTTCAAAAGTGTTCTAGCTATCAACCATTCTTTGATAAGCAATTCTGCCGCCACAAGCTACCATATTCATAAGTAACCTATCACTGATTGCCAAAATGCACGGTGAAAAGCCATAACCAAGTCACCCTCAGCTAAAAGGGAAAAAGAATCCAGATCTGTGGTCCATTCACTTTTACATTTTCAGTAAGTAGTCTTACCTGATGAAGCACTTGGACCTTCTAAAATACAGAGAACACACCATAACATGTACAAAACAATGTAAATCATACTATTATATATAAACTAGACAATAGATGATGACAACAACAACAACAACAATAAGCCTTATCTTATCAGGTAAAGTTGGCTACAGAGATTGCACAATGCAATTGTGCTTTATCATCAACCAATAGGTAATATCATATATAAACAATACAGATTTCTCCATATTGCAAAGAGTTTAAAAAATATGTTGCACTATTCATGCTTGTGATAGTGAATGGTTATAGATTTTATTACATATATATTGATATAATGATATCTTGATTTGATGATTTAAAATGTCTTCATATGAGTCACACCCAAATGAAAGCATTTCAGTACAATAGGTAACTTTTTTTTTTTTATTTTGTCCCCTTTTTTATGACTACCTGCAATACATTACTATCGAATTAGATTTCAGCTTTGGCAAGCTCAAAAAGCAACTCTGCGAGCATATTTTTCATATGCAAGATTTGAATGCTCAACCTTGATTCATGTACATCCAACCCCTTCCACTCAACCAAAAATCCATTCAGATATATTAGCTTGAAGTAATATTTCCTTGCCTATGTTGAGTCAGTGCCTCTTAGTTGCTAAGCTTGCAAATGCAATATTAAATCATTGTGTTGTCAAACACTGTAAGTTTGGTTTGTCTTGTCTAAGAATTTTCACTGTTCACAATTCTCTAGCTACAACTAGATGTAATTGAACCCCTTTAACATCAAATGAAAAGTACATTCTAGTTCATATTGGGGAAAATGGGAAGCTAGTCAAACTACATTATAATCAGCAAACAAGATCATACGAAACAAGTATACTGCATATCCCATTTTCAAGCAATTAATTAGTTTAGCTCAGAATGTGCCAAGAAAACTGTTCGTAGGTTAAGGCTGAGATTATGACCAAGGATAAAATACGAGAACAAGTAGACACAATAAAAAAGAACATATGCTACTTTACTCATCTGCCTTCAAATTGAGCCTGTAGCGACGATAGCCATTTGTTTCCCCGAGTTGCACAATCTCTTTTGCCTCTGTAATCATAGACTGCTTCACCAAACTATCCACAACAAGCTGCAGAATTGATGGATTAACAAGACACCGTATATTGAAGATGTCTTTGCACAATTCAAAAGCAGTTGTCAAGTCACCCTTCTGACATAGGAATGGAAGAAGAGTCGAAAAAGTTATCTTGTTCGGATCATACTCATAGTTATTTGATAGTTCAGTGTACCACCTTTTAGCTTCATCCAAATCATCCGTATCAACAAAACCTTTAAACATAGCATTGAAGCTAAACATATCAGGCTTGATACCCTCATTCTTCATTTTCTCAAACAACTCAATTGCATCTTTAGTTTTCTTCTCCTCAGCCAATCCCCTTAGCCTAGCATTGTAGCTCCTGGTATCAGGAGCAACATTTTTCTCACCCATTTGACTCCATAACTTCTCCCCATCTAGAAAACGGTCCTTCGTATACAACCAATGAAGAAGTGTATTGTATGTGATCAGATCCGGATATATGCCCTTCTTCTCCATCTCCTCAAGCAAGGAAATAGCCGAATCAGGAGAACCCATCTCACAGTACGCCTTAATAACAATATTATAAGACACCAAATTGGGTTCAATTAACAGCTTCGTGGGTATATCCTTAAAAATGAATTCCACCATATCAAACTTCTTCGAGCGTGAATAAGCAGCCAAAAGGGCATTCAAAGATACAACAGTACGCGTACAATTTCTTTCAGGCAATTCATCAAACGTCTTTTGTGCATTCTCACACAAGCCAGCACTCCCATACAGACTGATGAGACGGGCCGAGAAGCCTTCTTTCTTTACGTCGCTGTACTTCTTTTGTTCTTCCAGGATCTCTTCGACCCATTTGAAGCGTTTGGCGACGGTAAGGCGACGAACAGTGTTTTCGTATATACCACTTCGAGTGCGAAAACGGGCGAGTTCGGATGCTTTCTTGAACTTGTCGACGAGGCGCTTGAGATCGCGTTCCTTGTAGAGGTCTTCGGATATTGACTTGATGGAGACGGGCGATTGAAGTGAGGTACAGAAGCTGCGCTGAAGAATGCGGCGGAGGAAGGACATTGTGTACGCTCCTGAAGAGTCGAGAAAACAGGGAAGGCAGACGCAAGAGAAACAGGGGATTTCTAATGCGAGGGGTAAGGAGGAATGCGGAATTTAGTGGGGATCTAGGGTTTTATGACTTTTATCTTTTATGAATCCTAAATACGTGGACTTTTTTAAGGGAAAACATCGTTAAAGGCAATATAATATAAACAAAAGGAATAAAAAAATTCCACAATATTACTGCTGAATTAGGAGATTAATTTAAAAACAATGTTAGATGAGAAAAAGATTATAATACCTTTTTTTTTCCTTAATTGATAAGTAATTATTTATTAATTAATAATTATCTATTCACTAATTGACATGTCCACAAATTTGAAAAAGTTTGGTTGTAAAAAAGGATAACTGTAAATCATTGTTCGTAATTAACAACAAATACCAGGCATGTTAGAAACACTGAGTATCAATTGATAAAAAAAAGGGTCCCGAGCTCTCTTACCATAGTTTACTCGGATGTAAAAAAGATACAAGGCTTTGGTAGAAGTGTATTTGATTTTATTAAAATGTGAAAAGGTTACAGGCCTAAACTGAAACACTAACTAATAAACTAAAAAGGTTAAAAAATGTAATATTGCGAGTCTTTAATTGAATGTCAAAGTAGCGGTAGCTTCTTTCTTAAGACCTAATACGTTTCGCGAAACTCATGGCACAGTCTTTATTTCATGCTCTTTATTTTGATAATCAACTCGTTTCACTAAGATACTTGGGTGTGAGGTTCGTAGATTTCGACAATACTTGAGACCATATCTTTCGCGCCAACGGTCTAACATTTACAACTAACGAAATTTCGGCATGTTTTCTTATTGTGGCTTTTATTGAGCATTGGGGTCGACCCCTTTTGTTTATATTGAGCCTGATACTTCAATTATTCAGTCTAACTAGCCATGTGACCTGTTTGAACGACGTTTCATATTTAGCCCAAATAATCATGTTTTAACAAGTGATTATTTGTTAATTAATAAGTACCTATTTAAATCTAATAAGAAATTATTTGCTAATTGACAAGTTTAAAAATATGAAAGATTAGTTGCAGGGAGGGATAAGTGTAGATTATATTTCAACATTAATTAACAAGTACGCATTTATCATTAACAAGAAGTCATTTACTAATTGATAAATTTAAAAATTTAAAAAAAGCTTGGTTGTGGGAATGGACAAATATAAATCATATTTTAATAAGTAGTCATTCATTAATTAATAAATACTCATTCACGTTTAACTAACAAAACATTAGCTAATTGACAAATTTAAAAAAAAGAAAAAAAAAAGCAAGAGTATTATAATCTTTTTTAATTTAATATTATTTTCAAATCAGTCCCCTAATGGGGTCATATTTTTGAATCTTTTAATTATTTTTTGACATTAAATTGCCTCAAGGGTCTTTGCATGATATTTTCGCTTAATAACTATTCTTAGATCTTAGACAACTTCGTAAAACGCTATAAAACTATAAAGTGCATTAATAATTCAAGTATAGCAATTTCATGATTGATATGTTTTGTTTTTAAGAAAAGGGACAACTAATTTAGTTATCAAAATAGCTGTCAATTTGAACACACTAAAGTTTTTCAACCGGAAAAAAAGAACATATGCTCAAATTGGTGATGTACTTGAGAGTAACTTAAAGTTGTTTTATGACCAAAGAGTTATTTTTGTTTTGTCGTTAGTACAAAAAAAAATTCAAAGTATTCCCATAGCCATCATGAGCTCATGAGACTAATTCTTCAAAGATCTAAGCATTATATAAAGAGTTGTCTTCTTACAAATGATGGTTTTCAGACACACTTCTAAAGAATTAAACTCTAAAATAATGTTTAAGAGGTTTGGACTATTACCATCTATGTCACTCCCACTTGGTACTAAAAAAAATGTTCTTTAAACTTGGTGAAAATGACTTTCTAAATCAGTTTTAGAATCAGTTTTGAAAAGGTCAATTTAAAAAGTCATTTATTTTTTAAATAGGGCATACAATCGATTTAGCAAGTTACTTGGGAGAATTTTAACAAAGAATCACAATAGACACGTAAGTTAAAATCAAGACCAATGAAATTTGAAATCACACCGTAGGACCAATAAAAAGGTTAAAGGATAAAAATATCTATGAACTTTGTTCCTTAGACGCACCTAGTATTTTTAAGTGAATGATGGTAAAAGAATATCCATAGAATTAATAAAATTGGTACAAAAGTGTCCAAATCATTAAATTTGATTAACGTTCGTTAATGTTGATCATTAAAAAAAACAAGAAGCAAACATAAAATGCAAAAATACTTAAACTTTTTATTCAAGAGCTTTTGGCATCATTAAGTCAACAATGATGCATAAGTTACCATCAACTATATAAAAGAGATTATATAATCAAGCTTCACTCTAACAAATTGGGCTTTTAGGCTTATTCAAGCTAGCCCAAATAGTCAAATTCTAAAACATTATTTTATTTTATTTTTCATTTTTAATAAATTTCAATTTTTATCTTAAAAAATGAAGATTTTTCAATCTTTTTATCTAATTCTAATTTTATTTTATTAATAGTAAAAAGAATTCAAGTATTTGAACAAAGCCCTTTTGAGTTTGGGTTTAGTCTGGATTTATTTGAGCATATTTAGACAACTCAAAAATGCTTGAAGTAAAGAAAATTTTATAATCTCCCAAATCCAACATTAAGATTTTTTAGGTTTATTCAGACTAGCATGTTTGGCTTGGCTCAAATTACTAAATCTAACATTTTTCAGTTAGTTAAAATAACTTAATGTTGACTGTGAAGTTCTATGAATAAAACTTAATGAATTGAGGAAGGTTGGCCTAGTTTATAAAATTAATGAGTACTTATATATTATTATTAACTTTAGGATATCAAAAGCTCCTAAATAAAAGTTTTATGGATATTTTACCTCATGTTTGTTTCCTTATTTTTTTTTTGAATTGTCAAATTTAACGATTTAGATACTTTTGTACCCACTTCATCAATATTATATGCACTTTTGTATCATCCTTTATTTAAGGATACTAGTTGTGTTTGGAAAAAAAATTTATGAGTATTTTTGTCCTTTAACCCCAAATTAAAATGTCTAGGTGTGAAATGACAAAAATACCCTCCATTAAATTTTTTTTGAAAAAACCCCACATGTTATCATATTTGCAATGCTTACTTGTTAGTTCATTAAAGAAACTTATTAACAATGTCATTTCCATATTTAACCATGTTGACTTGTGACAACATGAAGTTAATATTTTAAAAGTTGGATCATATGTTAAACCAAAAAGGTCAACGAGTTTTTATTTTTATGATCTAACTGATAGTTGAACTAGTGATATAAAAATTAAATAAAAAATATTAATTCTTGTATAAATATGTATGTAAGTATGTATGTATGTATGTATAAAAAATTAATTCACATTATGTGTAGTTGTTAATAAAATAAATAAAAAATAAATTATTTGATCCTTACAATTTTTACTCAGTTGTAACTCAATTCTTAAACTTTAACTCATTATAACTCGGTTCCTAAAATTTTGACTCGGTTGCAAATTAACTCTTGAACTTCCTCTTATAATTTAGTCCATGAAGTTTCAAACTCTTAAATATTAGTTCTTAAATTTTTAAAAAATAAAATTATAAATATTAAAAATATTTTAAACTTTTAATGTTTATAATATTTATTTTAAAATTTATTACTAATATTTTAAATTATTAAAAGGGTTAATAATTTAAAATATTAATAATAAATTTTAAAATAAATATTATAAACATTAAAAGCTTAAAATATTTTTAATCTTTATAATTTTATTTTTTAAAATATAGGGACCAATATTTAAAATGTTAAAACTTTAAGAACTAAATTGCAAGAGAAAAAGTTTAGGAACTAATTTATAACCAAGTTAAAAGTTTAAGAACTGAGTTATAATGAGTCAAAATTTAAAAACTAAGTTACAACTAAGTCAAAACTATAAGGATCAAATAATTAATTTTTTCTAAAATCAAACAATGTGACTTTCCATAAAAAAATTAACCCAATGTGACCATAAAACAACAATATTATAAATTATAATTTTATAACTTCTTAAATATAGATAGATCTTTAAAATCAGGCATAATTAGGTTCAAAAGTATTTGAATTTGCTGTTATAGCTATCGACATTTTCCTAAAAAATGGTCCAAGAACATATTATATACATATGAAGGGTCCAAAAATGAAGTTGACACTTAATAGGGTTTAATAGTTGAATGTTTTTGCTTTTTTTTAAATAGCCTTTTTTATATTTCATTTAGACTTGTCCAATTTTCTAAAAATAGTTTCAATTTTTAGGTCAATAGTGGCTAAACTTTGTGGGAGATAAGCTAGCACCCAAGTGGGGTTGAATTGGGTATTCTCAAATTTTCAAAAACTCTTCCTAATTAAAAAAACAAAGTTTTCAACAAAATAGTGTTAATAAAAAAAAGAGTTTAATGCAATTGAAGATTGGGTAGAGAAAGGCTTGACACAAAGATTTATACTTGTTTAACCCAACCACTTAACCTACAACTAGTCATTAAGATCAAACTTGAGAGTTTTCACTAAACCCACAAGCTTAATTTGGTCAGTTTTGTAATCATCAAAACAAAGGTATATCCAACACAAAGTCTAATTTAGCTCAACCATAAAAACAATTTTTTTTGTCTAGACCGAGCCATTAATAGTACTAGTTGATGATCCAACCGATTTGACTATCCATTATAGTTCTTAAAACAATGCATGACGTGAACTTGTTAAAATTATAGCTTGTCACTTTAGTAATTCTCACTTGTCAATTCTTTAAAGAAACTTGTTAACATTGTCATTTCCATATTCAACCTTATTGATTTGTGTGACATCCCAAAATTTAACCCAAGATTAATTAAGTTAGCCAAGGACAAATGAGTAATTTTGAATTCATATCTAGAGATAAATAATTTTAGTTAAGGGATTATTATTTGAATTTAATTTAGATAAAATCCTAAGTTATGGTTTTTTTTCAAAAATAGAAATGATAATAATATTATTGAAAAAAGAAAGAAGAAGAAGGACAATG